GATTTCTGACCTATCCTGAAAATTTTATTAATTAATTGGATCCGGATCACCACCAAAATCTTTTCAATTCTAAGTTAGCCGATTTCTGACCTATCCTGAAAATTTTATTAATTAATTGGATCCGGATCACCACCAAAATCTTTTCAATTCTAAGTTAGCCGATTTCTGACCTATCCTGAAAATTTTATTAATTAATTGATTAATTAATTGGATCCGGATCACCACCAAAATCTAATCAATTCTAAGTTAGCCGATTTCTGACCTATCCTGAAAATTTTATTAATTAATTGATTAATTAATTGGATCCGGATCACCACCAAAATCTAATCAATTCTAAGTTAGCCCATTTCTGACCTATCCTGAAAATTTTATGACAATCCGTCCATAACTTTTTTAGTTAGGCTGTACACAAACAAACAAACGCACAAACCCACAAACCAACAAACGCCGGTGAAAACACAACCTCCTGCCAACCCCTTGGCAGAGGTAATCATATCTCTATTGTGCTGCGGCACAATTTCCCTACGGCGCTCGATCTTAGTCGCAACGTCTATGATCTTGGAAATGACAGGATCGATGTTGTGGCTGACACAACGGCTGATGCGCACGTTTCAATGGCATAACATGGTTCCCGAGCGCGTCTCAATGACCCAAACATGGCTGTTGCTTGCGCGTATTAATGGCACAAACATGGCCGACGCGTGCTCGCGAGGGCACCCGGCAGTTAGATGCGATATTATATGACTACTAGGCACTTAGGATATGACTACTAGGCACTTAAAAAAAAAAAAACCCTAACCCTAACCCTAACCTAACTTAAACCCTAAACCTAACCTAAACCCAACCCTAACCCTAAAAAAAAAAAAAATTAACAAATTAAATTAAAGTGCCTAGTAGTCATACAATATCGCATCTAACTGCCGAGTGCCTCGCGAGGTGTTGGCAGAAAGATGCGATATGATATGACTACTAGGCACTTTAATTTAATTGAATTTGTTTTTTTTTAGGGTTACGGTTTTTTCTTTTTAAGTGCCTAGTAGTCATATCCTAAGTGCCTAGTAGTCATATCCTAAGTGCCTAGTAGTCATATCCTAAGTGCCTAGTAGTCATATCATATCGCATCTATCTGCCGGGTGCTGCTCGCGAACGACCAGTGCGGCTCTCACCTTGACCAGGTCGATCTCCAGCTTCATGGATCTGTCCTTCAGCTGCGTGATCTCAGACTCCAGCTGCAGGATCTTCGTGCTCTTCTCGATGTTCTCCTTGTTGGCCGAGTCCAGCTCCAGCTTTAGTTCGTCTACCTGCACCTACACACGCGCGCGCAGAGACAGAGACACATGAGCAGTGATGGCCACACACCACACATGTCGTACTTTATGGTTATGGCTAAGTTATACGTGAGCTATACCTGAGGGCATACCTGTTTACATTATATGTGGTTATATATTAGCTATAGGTAGTGTTCCTACATCATACATGCGGCATCCCTACAACATACTTTGGTTACGTTATACATCAGTTATAGGCCATCATTATACTCCATTATCCTATAGTACGATACTCCATCGTACTTTGTTATCTGGATTACTCAGTTATGAGTGGTTATTACACATAGCTATACTCAGTGTGCTTACATCATACTCATCTATCTGAGCCTGCAGCTGCTCAGCACGGTCTCGTTGGTCGCGTAGCGCCCCCTGGTGGGCCTCCAGCTCGTCCATGCGCTCGCGTTCTAGCCGCTCGCGCTGAGCCTTGAGCCGGTCAATCTGCTGCTCCTGAAATTATAACAGCAATTATGAATAGTGCTGCTTGATAAATCACATGAAAGCTTGTTACACACTGCACATAACTGATCAGGTTGAGTCAGATAATACTTTTCGACGACGACATCGACAATGACGGACGACGACGAGGAGGTTACCTTGTCTCGAACAGCGTCCTCGAGAGAGGCGACGACCGAGTCGCTCGATTGGTCGAGCTGCAGCGACAGCTTGCTCTTCACGCCATCTAGCTGCTTGTCCTTCTCCGAGATGAGGTCTTCGAGGTTCTCGATCTGACAAGGGGAGAAGCAAGCGCAAAGGAGGATGCGTTACAACGACACGTCACCTCTTGGTTGCGTTGTCCGACGGACAGACAGATTGTGCAAATTACCTCCCCCTCCTCCCTCCCCTCTTCTCTTCTTTTCCTCTCTACCCTGTTCCCTCCCCTACCCCTCCTCCCCTCTCCTTCCTCCTTCCTCACCTTGCGCTGCAGTACGTTGATCTTGCGTTCCTTGATGTCCATGTGGTCGCGTAGTTCGTGCAGCTCTCCCCATCCTCCTCCCTCTCAGACAACAATGACAATGACAACAATGACAGGAATGAACGGAAATGACAAAGCAGAGTTACAGTAAGCGTTAAACGTGAATTGCTAGCAAACTAATGATGACATCTGTCTTGTTGTCTTCACTCACATTTTCTCCTTACCCATTGGCTTTCCTGCCGTCTCTCTCTCTCTCTCTCTCTCTCTCTCTCTCTCTCTCTCTCTCTCTCTCTCTCTCTCCCCCTCTCTCTATCTCTCACACATCGTCACATTCTCTCCCCCTCCCCTCTCGCACACTCTCACTCTCTCTCCTTTTACCTCCCTCTGTCCCATTGTCTCTCACAATATCTTCCTCTCACTATTTTCTCCCCTCTCTCTCCTTCTCCTTCCCTTCCCCCCTTTGCCTCTCTCCCTTTTCCTTCCCTTTCCCCCTTTACCTCTCTCGTGCACCCCTCACCTCTTCCTTTAACTTTTTCTTTAAGTCATCTCTCTCTTTCCTGAGTCGCTTGATATCCTCGATAGCTCTGGGATGATTTGGGTTGGGTGAAGCCATCTCTAGGAGAGCAATGTTCGCATCCTTTTCACTGATTGCTGCTCGCAATGCCTCTTGCCTGCAAAATAGATTTGTCGATAGACAAATCAGAGCAAGTAATCCTAGACAGCTTATACGGTTACGTTGTGACGATTGAATTTTGCAAAAAGGACTCATAAAGGAGGTTGTAGCTACCTCTTACGTGGTCAGGTATTTCTAAAGCTACCTCTCATTCCTTTCGGATTCATCCCACCATCACCAAAACCTTTACCATATTTTCTCCTCCCACCTCCCCCTCCCCTTCTCCCCCTCTCCTTACTTCATCTCGCTTAGTTCGGCTAGCTGGCGGTGTCTCTCGGCCCTTAGCGTCTGCAGTCGGTCGTCCTTCGACTTCTTCGCATCGTTCGCCTCCTCCAGCTGCTTCCGCATGTCCTCGAGCTGTAACCATGGCAACCAGCATCCCTGTAGGACTTCGCTAAGAACTACATGAGCGTCTTTTGCACGCCTGCTAAAGGCCTTTTTTGATATACAGTGTAGTAATGTGCAAACGCGATAATTTAACCGGTGACCGCTCGGGAGAGCCCTTAATTCAGCGGTCCGAGGGACCAGCTAAAAGTAAGTATCTTTGAAGGTAATTAAAGAAGGAGATGAGAAAAAAATACAACAACCGATTATAATACAAATACGGCTACAAATATTATGCGCGACCTCGCCGCGACCCCACCGCGACCTCGCCTCGACCTCGCCGCGACGCCGCCTCGACCTCGCCGCAACCCCACCGCGACCTCGCCACAATCCCACCGCGATTCCGCTTCGACCTAGCTGTGACCCCACCGCAACCCCACCGCGACCTCGCCGCGACCCCGCCGTGACCTCGCCCGCACCTGCATCTCGACGTCTCGCAGCTTGTTGCGATACTCGGCGATGGCGACCTCGCGCTCGGCCGTGATCTTGACGCTCTCGCGCAGCGCCTCCTCCAGCTCCTCCACGCGCTCATTACGGTGCTTCAGCGTCGTCTGCCAGCGAAGAAAAACAAGTGAACGTCTCGGTAATGTAGCCACCAGAGGGCGCCAGTAGCGTAGAGAATGAGCTTTCACTGGTTTCGCCCGTGTATACACACGAGTATTCCCTAGTTTTCCTCAAGTTTGAATAGGAGTAATCCCTGGTTTCCCCTCTAAATTAGACACAAGCTTTCCCTGATTCACTCCCCCCCCACTCACCTGAGTTTAACACAAACAAGTTTTCCCTGATCTTTTCACAAGTTTTAAAATCCCATTTGTGAATTAATCGTGTTTGCGTGTGTGACGCGCACGCTGTACCTGCATGTCGACGCCGTTCTGCTTCATGTCGCCCTCGCGTTTCTTCGCTTCGTCCAGCAGCTGGACGCTCCTCTTCTGCTCGCGCTTCTGCATGCCCAGCTTCTTAGTCTGCTCTGTCACCTGTCTGTATGCACACGAGAGGAGCCAGCACTTGTTAGTGGGCTGTGTGTGTGCGTGCGTGCGTGTGTGTGTGTGTGTGTGTGTGTGTGTGTGTGTGTGTGT